ACTGGGAGCCCTGCTGCGGATGGGTCTCCTCCAGCAGTACTTAGGTTTCATCACAGAACAATCACAGCAGCTAACAAAACCCCACACTTTTCTGTTAGAATCCTGGGGTGGGGTGGAGGGGATGTAGGCTTAGCTCCACACCTGGGCAAAGACAGGGCATGGGCCTAAGCTTAGTAACTACTCCTGGGTAGGATACATATGCTGGGGGTTGCACACCATAGGTGTCATTCCCAAAGGACTCAGAAGCCCAAGAGGATGAGATGAGGATTCAGCTACCATGCCATTTCCTGGGGCCTGCAAGATGTGACTGTGATTTTGACTCTATCAGAAGAAAAAGGAAGAGCAATAATGAACAACATGAATTTGAACTTATCTTTGAGGCTCCAGAATTGTTCTGTGGGTCAAGGTGACACTGTTCCTGGGGGATAAACACGGATAGCAGCCCAGTTCCAAAGAAAAATCTGTTTGTCATCTCTTGTTCATAGGGAGAGTATGAAGAGCAAAAGAGGTGACCGATATGAAAATGTGTCTCAAAATATGATGGTGATGTGTAACTCCTAAGAGTTACTTTTCTATTAATCAGCACAAATCAGTGGAAAACTGATATAATCACACTTCTAGATTAATGAGAGGCTATGTTATCAAAACTATACCATATTTCAGTGGAGCATAAAATGAATACATTGAATTTATCTGTATTAAAAAAATAAAAATCATTCCACATACTAAATACATCAAAATTTTTTTGCTAACTAGTCTATTTTTAGGTACAAACTGTGGTATTCATAATATACAAAGCTGGGGCTGGGGATTTAGCTCAGCGGCTCAAGTGTTTGCCTGGTAAGTACGAGGTTGTGAGTTTAAGCCCTGGTACAAAAAAAAAAAAAACAAAAACAAAAACCCAAAAAGGTACATAATATACAAAGTCAAATTATTTAATCACTTAATTGACGATTGAGTACTTTTATACACCATGTTGAGTGTTAGGGCCATTTTCTAATCTTGTGGAATTAACAGTCTGCTGTTGATATCAACAGGTCATCAAATTATAGGGAAAGGCTAATTTCCAGTGTTTAGATTCAGCTTTGAAAGAGCCTCCCAAAATAAAGTGAAAGAAATTAAAAGGGAAACTCTGGACTCCTTGCTCATCAAGATGCACGATCCTATGGGAAGTTTTATTTATCAAACTCTTTTTACTTGTGGAGACCCATTAAATAGTCAAAGATAATACCCAACCTTGAAAAGGTCTATATTCTATTCGTTTGCTACAGCTTCCAAGGCAACATTCACAGGCTGGGCTGTTTACAAGCAGCAATTTGTTGTCTGACAGTTCTGGAGGCTGAAAGTCCACCATCAGGAATCTGAAGTGTGGCTCCCTCTGAGGTCCTCCTGGCTTCCAAATGTCAACTTCTCTCTATTTTCTCATGTGGTCTTCCTCTGTGCCAGTCTGTATCCTATTCTTCTCTTCTTGTAACACAATAAAATACTAGTTGCATTGAATGCGGGCCCATTCTAATGATCCCATTTTAACTACATTATCTCTTTAAAAATCCTATCATCAAATACAGTCACATTTCAATATGCTGGGGATTAGGATCTCAACATGTGAATCAGGAGGGAGCATAATTCAGCCTACTGCAGAGTATGTGTTCATCATTTTGTTTCAAAGTTCATCTGGGTCTGGGAAAGCAATACAGATAAAGTTATTTCCTAATAATGTTCCTGAGTCAGTTACTGCTTTTGTTAAAACTACACAGGTTTAAAACATAATCACATTTTTTTATGGCAAATGCCTGACACTGCATCTGCCTTTTAGACTGGGTTAACTGTACAGGTCCTTGCAGAGACATTGCTTTCATCTAAATAAAGTTAACTGGTGTAAGATTTGATTTGAGAGAAGGAAAAAACCATCTTGTATTCAAGGTACTCTTTCAAGGTCAAAGATAGATCAGTCAAATAACTGGGTTTGGTGTCTTTCCTTGATTAAAAAATACATTCCCTAACCATCACCATCCTGCACAATGTTACATTTTCTTTCTCAAATATCCTGCTTTAAAATATTGATTTCTTTTAAATGTTTCAAACACGATTTTGTAGAGTTGGTAACTGCTTTCATAGTTTTATGCTTTTTATTGACTGTTTTTAACTTGATATTTATACCTTCAGGCATATGACTCAGGGCATCATTTCATGAGTTGAAGTAAGAAAGAAATAAGGAGTAGATGATCAGAGAAATCAGATCCTGCGCCACGGTAGTGTGGATGCGTCTATTCCTGTAGTAATTTATTTCTCCAAAGGATAAGCATCTAATCTGATCTGTACCTTTGAAATCTGTATTTTTCTCCATGAGATAATTCTTTCCTCTTCCACTGCTTTTCTGCAGCCTAAAATTGTACTTGCCAGATAGAATCTGCATACATCTCCCCACAGATACAATGGCGACCTCCATGTCCACTAAAAATCTATTCATTCCCATGGAGCAGATTCAGAGTCATCATCACCAAGTAATCTGTTAACCTAGTGTCAGTTCACTCTATATGTAAGAGCATTTTCAGATAGATGCATTTGCTCTAGTGTAGAGTAACGGAGGCAGAGTTTTCAGACAAATGGAAAAATCAAGCTCTTTTCACGATCTGTTGTGAAACCACTGTCTTTGTATGCAGTTCCTGAAAACCAAAGAATTCATGCAGTGTAATACATAACACTGAAAGGCTGGCAAAATCAATTTTTTCCTCCAATGTTTCCATTGAGGTAAAAGGTACACAAAATAAAATTTACCATCTTAAGCACACATTTCAGTTGTATCAAATATATTCATAATGTTGTGCAACCATCACCTCCACCCTTTTCCAGAACACTTGTCATACTGTAAAACAGAAACTGTACACATGGAACAAAACACCCCATTACCTCCTCCGTGTCATCCTTGTCAACACCCAAGAATCAACATGCTTTAAAAAGGTGGCGTGAGAAAGCCAATTATGGTATACATAACTGCATCTTACATTGCGCAGGAATTAAAAATAAAAAAATAGATCACTTAAATGACAAAAGAAATTGTTTGTGATGGAATATTTTGTATAAATGAGCAGTATAAAAATTGAAATGCCTCGTAGTCTTAAGCTTTTGTAAAAAAAATACATGGGAAAACTAAGGTATATATATATATATATATATATATATATATATATATATTCCTAAGTTTCTACAGGAGACTGTAATGACTTTTATTATAAAAACTCAGCTTTTTAAAGAAGAAAACTGTGCTTCATAGTTTACTCCTTTTAAGTAATCACTTGGCAGAAGATGTACCTGCATATCATTCCTATAGCTTTGATGCATTTTGGAAGGAAAAGCAATCAATCTTGTGCAGGCTCTGGAGAGAGAGAGAGATTGATGGCATTTGCACGGGCAGGACATCTGCTGGCATGTTCCATCATCTTTCAGCAGCCATAGAACACACACAGGGGAAAGCTTTAAAAGCTTTAAAGGTTTGGAGGGAAATTTGAAAATCATACAACTATCAAATGAGATGATCCAAGAAATTCCAGAGCAAATATTTAGAAGTTGTGATTTCCAGAAATTAATTGGGGTACAGACTGAGACTGTTATATGGATCTGACCACATGGCCCCCAAGATGGATACTGTTTCTAATGACAAATGCTGAGTATTCTTGTTATCAACAGGAAAATGCGAAAAGTTGCCACTCAAAGTACAGAGTAAGTGGGAAAGATGGGAATCTTTCTTTTATTAAGTGTAGTAATCCACCCCAACAGTGTTCCCCAATTTCTGTGACTCACCTCCACTCCCTCCCAGCTGTCTCCTCCAAGCCTCCTTTTGCAATAACCTACTTTTCTTCCTGCTCACTTTCCATCCTGAACCTGGGTCTTTGCTCCTGCTTCCAGGATACAAATCAATTATAACCACACATATTTATATCAGGAGACAGTAGGCTTAGTATTTCCATATAGAGAGGGCTTTGAAGATCAATAACTAAATCGCAGGACCCAAAATAGCATCCATTCTCCATCTCGTAGGATTTGGAGCCTGGGGTACTTTGTTACTCATTTCGGGCCATGTGGAGCTTTACTAAATGCAGAACTAAATCAAATTAATACCTGAGACAAGGATTTTGAGGGAAATTTTTATCAGATATGTTTGCTATTTGAATCTTCCATGAGAGAACAATTTATATAATTTCCCTTCCTCTTAGAATTACAGGACCAGGGATACAGCTCAGCAGTACAGCATCTGCCTGGCAAGTATGAGGTCGTGAGTTTGATTCTAAGTACCAAAAAAAAAAAAAAAAAAAAAAAAAAAAAAAAAGAATTACAAAAGTTAGCAGTATAATATCCATTGTGACAGACAGCAGATGTGTTATAAACTGTAATGCCTGGTACAAGTCTTTCAGGTGAAAAAGTCACACTGTAAAATTCTGTTAAGTGGAAAGAGCCTTCCTGTTACAATCATTAAAACGAGGACAGAACCTTCAGATCCAGGGTTGGCATATAAGTTAGTTATTATCCACAGTGTGCAGATTCTTTTGTCTTCTAGAATCTGAAGCATTGTGTTATATAAATATGGCCCCTAATTTTTTTCTTTCTTTCATACTGATACTTTTTGCAGTTAAAACAACCTATGCTAGCTTGTTAGACTTCAAAATACTTCTTCTTGACATTCAAAGTGCTATATGGTATAATCTCTCTCTCTATTATTTTCTCTAATGAATTGACTTTGGTGTAAAATTGATAGCAGTCACCATATTCTATTTGTTTGAGAACTTACACATTTTTGGGAAAAGTTATTAAAGAATTATTAAATACATGTATTGCATACTTTTATACAACAATTCATCATTGTTGGCTAGATTTTCTGTTGTGTTAATTCAATTTATGACTAAATAAAATAAAATGCAAATACATCACAAGATGGCCAACAATCACATTTTATAGTTAGGTGCATTTTGCTGAATACTCTAGAAGTCACAAATATATATTACCTTGGTGAAGTTAGATTTCCTCTCTGTAACATCAGACTGGAGAGTTCTAAGGGAAATTTGATCTTTTGTACTATAATAGTTGTCCTGTAATCCTAGACAAAAGGAGATAATATTGCTACTTTTAGTACACGAAAGGATAAAATGGGATATATAACTTTAACTTTACTATAAAATTTAATGTCCCCTATTCACTTTATACTAGCCAATAGTGAATTCAGTGTATTTCAACCGATGATAAAAACCTTGTATATTTCCCTTGTTTATTCCACCTCACTCCATTTATACTCTCTGAGTCCATTATTATTTAGTTTATGAAGCTTCAAGATTCCTTCTTCCATATAGTTGTTTATGTCCCTTGGAGATGGTAATAATTGAACAAATACAGCCTTATCACATTCTCCAGTGTCTTCAGTTTACACTCACAAAAAGAGAAAATCACATCTATAGATTTCCCAGCACCAACACAGTTAGGTAAAATGGAAATACAAGACAGACTTTCATCCGGCCTCTTAACCCAAGTATTGTTGGAGGGCAATGGAAGACACAGATACTGATATTAAAATTGTTTTATAATATCTGAGGTTAATTTTGAGATAATATTAGACGCTGTGTATGTGGTTCTTGACTTGTGCCTTTCCATGAGTACTGTCCACAGGGGCAGCTAAGAATAATGTAAGGTCTAAGTACACATAATGATGGATGTGTCTACAGAAGCACCAGTCTAAATTTCCTCATACACTAAAGCTGTCCTCCACTGAGTCTTAAGTAAATTGCTCTCAAGCAGAAAACCATTCTTAGATGTGAGCTAGGGAGTATTTAAAGTTTTCCAGGGTCCTTAGATGGAACTGAGACCACCTTAGCCATAAGCTCTCAGCACCAATAACCCCAAAGTTCTCTTACATGACCTTATCATGCTGCTCAAGCAGGGAAGTGACTAAAACAGGGGACAGCATGTGAAGGAAGAGTCTGAGTCAGCCAAGCCACATGCCCACACTTTGTGCCTCAGGGTAACAATTTTCTCCATATTTGTTCCCACCTTCTGGGAACAGTGATCTTTCAAGAAGCTACCATGGTGCTAGTAATGAGAAAGAAGAGTTCAGAGAATGACTCCAAATCAGGTCCCCCCCTTGGAAGGGTTGATTAAAAATTTTAGATATAATTTAAAGGATTTTATGGAGAAATAATACAGTATTTTCAAGTTTGGCAGATTTGTGAAAGAGGATGTGGCTTGAGAGAATTTCAAGGGTCATCAATAGCTGGTCCAAAGTCTAGCTATCTCAGCTTGTCCTTGGGTGACAATGAGCCTCCATTGGCGCTAACCCAGATGTATGGCTATGGTTTAATCTATGACTGTTACTGAGTGACAGGTGTGGTTATCTGAGTTGATGTGCACAGATTACTTTCTGTGAAGCACAAACATAAGACCTTAAAGGTCTTATGGATTTCTGTGCAGAGTTGATGAATCATGATGAATTGAAAATAAAGCTGATGAAGACAGAAATGACCTGGCTCTACCTGTGTGGCACTGTGCTCAAGAACTTTAGAATCACCCAGTCACTGAAGCCAGATGGATCTGGGTCTGCTCCAGCTCAGCCCCAGCTGGACTTGTAGTAGATAAACTGTATACCCTCTGTGAGTTTCTTCATCTATAAAATGCAAATAATAGCACCTCTTGCAAAAATGCAATCTTTGCCTTCAATGTACTGAGAAAACCATGTGTAAATGCATTGACCAGGAGTGGGGTAGGGGATTCATAGTTTATAAATGGCACTGGTTGTAGTTGTTAATGTGCATCATCAAGGCAACTCACACCAAGGTCCAAGCAGTCACTAATGCTGTGGCTTCAGTGGCCAAAAACCACTAGAAATGGACCACATGGCCCCAGAGCCTGAATATTAGTTTTGGCTGTATATATGTTTCAGGCAAGTTACTCACTGTCCCCTTGTTGCTTAATGTGAAATGGAGGTAATGACAGTGTTTACTTCATCAGGTTACTGAAAAAGATTAAGTGGTACAACTAACTAGCCCTTAGTGTGATGCCAAGAACACAATACCATGCAAAAGTACTAGGTATTGGAACGTGCTTATTGCTAGCAGGAAAGGGAGAGCTGCCATGGTCAGATGAGCTGGGCTACATGTGACTTTCTTGTGGGCTGCTATAACAAATGATCACAACACAAGAGCATTATCCTATAATTCTGGGTCTCATTGGGCTAAAATCAGTGTCAGCAGGGTTGTATTCCTTCTCAAAGACTTTAAGGGAGAATTATTTTCCTATTCTTTTACAGCTTCTAAGGACCACTAGCATTCCTTAGGTACGAGCTCCACATCACTCTAACCTTTGCATCTACCATCACATCCTCTTCTCTGGACTCTACCCTCCTGCCTGATGGGACTCTTGGATTAGAATGAGCCCACCTGGGTAGTTGAAGGTAATCTCCATTGCAAAGTTAATGGCTAGATCATAACTGCTCTTTTGCCATACAAAATCACACACTGATAAATTCCTCAGAGTAGGACAAAGATGTCTTCAGAGATTTCATGATTTTATCCACCACAGACTAGACTCCAAGAAATGTATTGGATGCAACATAGGGCCTTTCAAATAATGACTATGAAGTCTGTGTAGTACTGTGGAAAAACATTTACAATGCAACATTTACCAAAAGAAAGGAATTGAAAGGCTGTGAACCACATGACTGTAATATTAAAGAAAGTATGAGAGGAGCCTACATAAGCATACAGGTAGTAATCACATTAAAGAATCGCTCTGGTTAATGGAACTGGCCAAGCATGTGTAGGCCCTATGCAAATTAGAATATAAGGCCTTGTCTTTGAGATTGAGAGGCTGAGTTCAAACTCTAGTTGTGTGGCTTGGCATAATTTACTTAACCTCACTACGTCTGGTTTCCCCATGTAGAAAATCAGAGAAAGAAAATAACACTGCGCTCTGCTCATTTCTTCCACCGAGGGGCCACCACATACCCCTGATGGTAGGCAGTCGCTGTAAATAGTTCACAGCTTCCTTATTTCTGAAAATCATCCTTCATGTTGGATCACAGCCAATGTGAGTCTCATGGACTCAAAGTCCCAGATATCCCTGTTGCACATACTACAGTACAAAGCATAAAGCAAAGGTGGGATTGTACCTTGACAACCTCCTGACTTGGCTCTTCCTCTTTACTGTCTTGCTCGTGAGTTCTTTTCTGAAGAGGACCTCCCACAGCCATATCCTCTCAATCCCTGCCTCAGGCTCTGCTTCTCGGAAAACAACTAGAGCTGATACTACCTCCTGGCAATGACTTATAGCAGGACTCTCAGAGAGTTGTCTCAGAGCAGCACCAATGTCATAGAAGAGTGTGAGAGAAATACATGTTCTTGGGTCCTATCAACTAATCCAAAAACCTACTGAGTGAGGTCCCTAAATAGTGCCAGGCCATCTATGCTTAATACTAGACCTCCTATGCTTAGTTAGCCTTTCAAGAAAGCTTAAATCTAGAGTACTTGTTGGTCTTATACCAATATATCCCTTTACACATGGTGAGTCTGAAGGCCCAGAAAGGAACCACATTGTTTTCATTCAAAAAACACCCCATGACTTTAAGAAAACCATATTGAGCCAGTTACCATGGGGATAAAAACAAGACTTCAGTTGGAACAAAACTATCATGAAAGCCAGCACAAGAACTTTAGTTTTGAACAGCCCATTCATTTAGGTGCCACTGTCATTGCCAATTCCTGAAAGGTGGTTGAGTTTAGTGTCCAGCTCTCTGGTCCTCTATGTCTGCTTACTACTATACAAAGGGATTTTCTCTCCAGAAATGGTGGGAAGAATTGTACTTTTGTTTCCAATGGCCAGAGTCACACATTCTAAGTCATTCTGGCTTTGGGCTACTTCCCAGAGATCCATGGAACAACGGAACCTGGCTGGGCAGGAATTTGTGCAGACCTAGGAACCTGCTACACCCTGAGCTGAGAAGTAAAGTGTGAGAGATGCTCTCTCCTTCCAGGAACACCAAGACAAAATCACAGCTTTGTGGTCTCAGGCCTCAAAAAGCCTCAGGAATTCTTCCAGCTGAAGACATCCAGAGAAGTTCAGATAAGAGAAAGAATCTTTAAAATGACTTTGTCCAATGAACTAGATTTAAACAAAAGTAGAAGTAGATGGGAAAGAAGTCAGCACAGCCCAAACAGATGTAAAAGAGAAAGGTGGACATGGCTTAAGATAAAATATTAAATCAGGAAAATCCAGCATCTCTGGAGAAAAACAAGTATAGGATATGGTCAAAGAATCAGATGCTGTTGCTGCATGTTGTACAACATTTCTTAAACTGTCTCTATGAAAACAGCAGACATCGTCATCTATGCCTAATGAATCAGCCCATGAAAGGAACATGTGGAAGATGGACACTGGTCTGTGCTTTGTCTGGTGAGTTTTCTTCCTTCTATATCTGCATCAGTCATACCAGAAGAAGCTAGTATGCATCAAAACTCCCACTTAATGATTTTTCAAGGCCGTTTTCACTTCTAGTCCTATAGGTGTCAAGGTTTACTCTGCATTTCCAAGATTCCTTTTACAATATCTCTTTTTACTATTTGAAAACAGATGTTTCCCAGAAACTCTTTTGAGATTTAGATTTGACTAAACATCTCTGTGAGATTAGATGCCATTGACTACCCAATGCCTCTGGAAATTCTTTTCATCTTTGACTTTTGCAAAAATGTGGTCTTCCTGGGGTTTTTTTGTTTTCTTTTGTTTTGTTTTTGTTTTTTTGAGACAGGGTCCTGCTAAGTAGTCTAGGCTGACTTTGAACTTGTGATGACCCTCCTGCCTCAGCCATCCGAGTGCTGGGATTAAAGGTGGGTGACACCATTCCTGGTTTGTCCTGTCATATTTCTGCCTCCCAGCTGGTAAACCTTACTTTGGGGATGGGTTCTATTGTTGCTTCCCACAGTTCTCTTTCTGTGCCTCTTATCAAACCTGGAAAGATACATCCAGCCAAGGTAGTCACCTTTGATTATAGGCCTTTGGTTCAGCTGCCTGCAAGTCACTTCTACTGCATTCTTTCCAAAAGGGAATCAGCCAACTCCT